ATGCTGCTGCACGTCTTGCTGTGCGTCGCCACTTACCTACCTCTGAGCGTGCGCACTTTAGCCAGTACAAGAGTGCTCAGACCTTGTACGACGCTGTAGTTGCACGCTACTCCTCCCCTGCCACTGCTGCACTGAGCCGCCTCATGCTACTGTACCTCTTCCCTGACCTTGCTGCCTTTCCCACAGTCGCTGACCTCATTACGCACCTCCGCACTAGTGACACTCGCTACCGCGCTGCGCTTCCTGCTGAGTTCTGCGCCAAGAACCCCCCCCCCATGTACATCACCCTCTACTACATAGTCACCCGTCTCCCTGACTCCCTTCGCGTAGTCAGGGACCACTTCCTCTCGGTTTGTCCCACCACTCTCACCGTTGACCTCCTCGAGAAGGCCCTCCTAGCAGCAGAAAAGAGCATAGTCGCTGTAGGAGCCTCTCGTGGTGACCCTCGCACCCCCATCTTTGAGGGGTGTTCCCCCTCCCCTCTTTTGCCCTCTGTTGCCTCTGCTGCTGCGGCCGACCTCGCTGGTTTGGAGTCGGTTGGGGCAGCGTCTACCCCTAGCGGGAGACGCCGCCCTGGCAGGGGCAAGGGGGGCAGGGGCGCTGGAGGAGCTAGCGGGGGCGGTGGAGGCGGCAGTGGAGGCGGTGGAGGAGGTGGGGGTGGCGGTGGGGGTGGTGGCGGGGGTGGAGGTGTAGGTGGCGGCAGTGGAGGCGCAGTCGGCAGCGGCGATGGCGGAGGGAGCGGAGGTGGCGGCGGTGGAGGAGGAGGCGGCGGAGGAGGTGGAGCTGGTCGGGGTGGCGCTGCGCAGAGGGTCAGCTCCGGTGGTGGTCAGCGCCAGCAGCAGCAGCAGCAGCAGCAGCGCACTCGTGACGTCCCCTCCCCTCAGCAGCTCCGTGAGTGGTACACTGCACGCCAGAGGGGTGGGGGTACTGGTCCGTGCACCTACGTCCTGCGCACCGGCGACCGCGCGGGTGAGCAGTGCGGGGGTGCGCACTCCACCCAGCGCTGCTTTGGCCGCCTGACGGACGCTTGGCGTCACCAGTTCCCTGAGGCCACTGAGATCCCCCGCTGGGGTGAGCTGTCTAGGGTGGGTGTAGCTGTCTTTGACCTTGACTTTGATGCTATTCTTGCTGCCATGTATACTGTGACTATTAGTGATGAGGGTGACTGTTACCGGTGTTTTCCGCCCGACCCGGGCATTGAGACTGCTGCTCTAGGTCCTGGTGAGGCTGCTGCTCTAGGTGCTAGCGAGGCTGCTGCTCTAGGTGCGTCTGCTCCCTCAGGTACTGGTGAGTCTGCTCTCTCAGGTTCTGCGTCGGCTTCGGCCTCCCACACCTTTACCCTTGACTCGGGGGCTTCTCGCTCCTTCTTTCGAGACCGCACCACACTCACGCCACTTGGCCGGCCAGTTGCGGTCTCTCTGGCAGACCCCTCTGGGGGTCCTGTCCTTGCTCACTTCTCCACTGTCCTCCCGTGTCCGGCGGCCCCCTCTGGCACCCTGTCTGGTCTTTACCTCCCCTCGTTCTCTACGAACTTGGTGAGTGGTGCTGACCTACAGGATGCGGGGGTTCACCAGTTCACTCCTGCGAGTCAGCGGGTGACCCACTGCACGGACGCTCGGACAGGCCGACACCTGGCCACGTTTACACGTCGGCCGGGGTCGAGCCTGTACACACTGACCACTGCGTCTCCTCCGGTCCCTGCGTCTGGTCAGGTAGCTGCGTCGGGTCAGGTGTTTGCTGCAGCGTCCAGGTCTGGTCCTGAGTCTGCCCCCTGCTCGTGTCGCCTCCTGTCTCACGAGACTCTCCTCTGGCACCACCGCCTTGGTCACCCCTCCCTGCTTCGTCTCCGGAGCATGGCCTCCCGTGTCCTTGTCTCTGGTCTTCCCCGGTCCCTCCCTCCACTTCCTCCGGGGCCTGGCCCTACCTGCGTCCCCTGTGTCGAGGGACGACAGCGGGCTACCCCTCACTCCTCCCAGTTTCCTCCGACAGAGGCCCCGCTGCAGACGCTTCACATGGACGTGTGGGGCCCGGCCCGCGTCCGTGGACAGGGTCACGAGCGCTACTTCCTGCTGGTGGTTGACGACTACTCGCGTTACACCACAGTCTTCCCCTTGCGCAGCAAGGGTGATGTCACTGAGGTGTTGATCGACTGGATCCGCGCAGCTCGTCTCCAGCTCAGGCGGAGCTTCGGCTCGGACTTTCCTGTTCTGCGTCTGCACTCTGACAGAGGAGGAGAGTTCTCCTCTGGCCTTCTGCGAGCCTACTGTCGTGCACGAGGCATCCGCCAGACCTTCACGCTTCCGGACTCTCCACAGCAAAATGGGATTGCTGAGCGCCGCATTGGCATGGTCATGGACGTCGCCCGTACGTCCATGATGCATGCGGCTGCCCCCCATTTTCTGTGGCCGTTTGCGGTTCGGTACGCGGCGCATCAGATCAACCTTCACCCCAGGGTCTCCATGCCGGAGACCTCCCCAGCCTTGCTGTGGACGAGGAAGGTTGGCGATGCGTCTGCGTTCCGTGTCTGGGGATCTCGGGCGTTTGTCCGCGACTTGTCTGCGGACAAGCTGTCCCCTCGTGCTGCTCCTTGCGTCTTCCTGGGTTTCCCCCCTGACGCCCCAGGGTGGCAGTTCTACCACCCCACCTCTCGTCGTGTTCTGTCCTCCCAGGACGTCACGTTCGACGAGTCGGTCCCCTACTACCGCCTCTTCCCCTACCGCACTCCGTCCCTCCCCCCGCCACCGCTCTTTCTGGTACCAGGTCCCCCCCCGGTAGACCCCCTCCCCCCTCAGGGTCCTGCCCCTTCAGGTGTGTCCCAGGTAGACGCTGTTGAGCCTGTCGAGGTCGCTGGTGACTCTGGTGCTGCTGAGGGTGCTGAGCCTGGGAGTGCTGACTCTGGGGGTGCTGAGCGTGTGGGTGCTACGCCTGGGGGTGCTGAGCCTGAGGGTACTACGACTGGGGGTGCTGAGCCTGGGGGTGCTGAGTTTAGGGGTGCTACGCCTGGGGGTGCTGCGTCTGGGGGTGCGGAGCCTGAGGGAGCTGGGCCTACTGGTGCTGTGCCTGGCGGTTCTCCGGGTGCTTCTTCTCGCCGGGAGCCACTCTCTCCACAGGAGCTGCGTGAGTGGTTTGCCCGGCGCTGGAGGCGAGCTGCTGGAGCTGGAGGAGCTGCGGGTACTGGAGTTTCTGTTGCTGCTGAGGGAGCTGGTGCCACGGGTCCCGGAGGTGCTCGTACTGGGCGTACTGGAGCTGCTGGACCTGGGGTACTTCTGGAGCTGGAGCTGCTGCGGGTGTTGGCGCGGAGGCTACTGCTGTCGGTCCTGGAGGCGGTCCTGCTGGGGGTACTGCTGGTGCTGCTGGGGGTACTGGAGCTGGAGCTGCTACTGGTGCTGGTGCTGCCCCAGGGGGTGCTGGTGCTGTCCCTGCTGTGTCTGGAGTCGCCGCGCGGCCTCGGCCGTACTTCGTTCCACTCCTTCAGCAGGTTCTTGGTCTCCCGTCTTCTACTGGTCCTCCTCCTCCCTTAGAGTGTCCACAGCCTGTCCCGTCGCAGTTACAGTTACAGCCGGCCTCCCCACTGCCTGCTCCGTCTCCCTACACTGGTCCTACTGGAGGTCTTGCTGAGCGTCGTGAGCCTGCGTCTCGCCCTGCGTCGCCTGTCCGTGCTGCTCGCACTAGTGGTCGCGGTTCGCGTCAGCGTCCTCCTCCTGTCCCTGGCACGCACCGGATGTCTCTGCGTCCGTCCACTGCTCCTCTGCGTGCCCCTTTGCCTTCTCCTCCTGAGTCTTCTCTTCCTGCTCTTGCCGACCCGGAGTCGGACTCTCTTCGTGCTGCCAGTCCTACTGTCACGCGTCTCCTTGCTACTGTCGTCACTGACCCTTCCTTTGAGTCCACTGCTGCGTCTGCCCTAGTTGCTGAGCTCGTCGACTTTGCTGCTCGCTGTCGCCTAGACTACGTCGCCAGTCTTGTTGCTGAGTCTGAGTCTGTCTGTCCTCCGTCCGTCGGGGGTGAGTGTGCCCTTGGCACGGACGTCCTTGAGGACAGGCAGGAGGAGTTCCAGTGCTTGGCCGCTGCTTCACCTCATCTCGTGTCCGTACTGCTTACCCCTGAGGGAGACCCGGATGCACTTGACATCCCGACTCCGCGCTCTTACGCGGAGGCGATAGAGGGTCCCTACTCCTCTCAGTGGCAGGCAGCTATGGACGCAGAGATGGCTTCCTGGAAGTCCACAGGCACCTACGTTGACGCTGTTCCCCCTCCTGGGGCGAACATCGTCAGTGGCATGTGGATTTTCAGGGTGAAGCGGCCGCCGGGTTCTCCGCCTGTCTTCAAGGCGCGTTACGTGGCTCGAGGCTTCAGTCAGCGGCAGGGAGTTGACTACTTTCAGACCTTCTCTCCCACCCCGAAGATGACCACTCTTCGGGTACTGCTGCACGTAGCTGCTCACCGTAACTACGAGCTACACTCTCTTGACTTCAGCACTGCTTTCTTGCAGGGCAGCCTGCACGAGGAGATCTGGCTGCGTCGCCCACCTGGTTTCACTGGGTCTTTTCCTCCTGGCACCCAGTGGAGCCTATGGCGGCCAGTCTACGGTCTCCGCCAGGCACCGCGTGAGTGGCACGACACACTGAGGACTACACTTGCGGCTCTTGGGTTTGCTCCCTCTAATGCCGACCCGTCGCTGTTTCTGCGCACCGACACTTCTTTGCCGCCGTTCTACATCCTCGTGTACGTCGACGACTTGGTCTTTGCCACAGCTGACACTGCTGGACTCGCCCACGTGAAGTCCGAGCTGCAGAAGAGACACACGTGCACTGACCTGGGTGAACTGCGCAGCTACCTTGGCTTGCAGATCACTCGGGACAGAGCACGCCGCACCATTACCCTGACTCAGTCACACATGGTGCAGCAGGTCCTTCAGCGCTTCGGCTTCACGTACTCCTCGCCTCAGGCCACTCCTCTGCCTACTCGCCACTCGCTCTCAGCTCTGCCTTCGGATGAGTCCGTAGAGTCGAGTGGCCCGTACCCAGAGCTTGTTGGCTGCCTCATGTACCTGATGACCTGCACACGACCTGACCTTGCATACCCTCTTAGCATTCTCGCACGCTATGTTGCTCCTGGGAGACACAGACCGGAGCACATAGCTGCAGCGAAGAGGGTGTTGCGCTACTTGTGCAGTACGTCGGGCATGGGGCTTGTGCTTGGAGGGCAGAGTCCAGTGGTCCTTACTGGGCACGCAGACGCTTCTTGGGCTGACGACCAGGCTACGCAGCGGTCGTCACAGGGTTACACCTTCAGCCTTGGTTCCGGCTCTGTTTCGTGGCGGGCTACTCGCTCGTCTTCTGTTCTCGGCTCCAGTTGTGAGGCTGAGATCTACGCAGGAGCCATGGCTGCACAGGAGCTTCGCTGGCTCACCTACCTGCTGACTGACCTCGGAGAGCCGCCTCGTTCTCCTCCAGTGCTGTACGTAGACAACAAGGCCATGCTGGCCTTGTGTCGGGAGCAGCGACTGGAGCACAGAACGAAGCACATTGCTCTCCACTACTTTCTTGCTCGTGAGCTGCAGCAGCGTGGTCAGCTGCGTCTTGCGTACGTGGCCTCTGAGGCCAACACTGCTGATATCTTCACCAAGGCGCTTGCGCCTTGTGACCATCAGCGCTTCTGTACTCAGCTGGGCCTTGTGCCTACCTTGCCTCACTTGCTTACCTCTTGACCGTGCTTGTACTGTTACATATATATATACCTGCTCTTGCTTGTCTAGCCTTTTTATATATATGTACTCCTGCATGTGAACTGGCCTTGTGGCCTTGAACTTGTGCTCGGAATGTGTGGTGACTTTGTGATCCACCCTGAGCTTGCTTTGCTTTGCTTTACTTGACTGGTCTTGTGACCCCTTGTTCTCCCCCACTTTGCCTATGGGGGTGTGTCAGAACATTATAGCTCATGCATATTGTGTAGGCTATAGTGGGGTAGCCCATAAGGGGTACAACCCAATTAGGGTTATTACTTGTACTCAATTCATTCATAGTTCATTCCATTCCTTGTTTCTTCTCAGGACCACGTGATTCTTTTCGCCTATTCTAGTAGCCCGTGTTGCAACGTACCTTCTAGGACTGTTTCGGGTTCGATTCGTGCACAAACGAATGTTGGACACCCCTAAAA